TGTCCTAGGCCAGGGTGTCCACAGGGGCGTGGAGCAACCTTCTCTAGTGGAAGGTGTCCCTACCCATGGCAGGGCTTTGGAAGTGGATGAGCTTTAAGGTCCCTTCCAACCCAAATGAGTCCATGATTCTAAAAAACACACCAGCCGTGGGAGCAGGGAGATGCCAGCACCACAATTCAGCACTCACCAAAGCCTTGCAGCTTCCAGTGTCCAGCGGCTAAATTCCCATCACAATATCACTCACTGGTGCACTGGGGCATGGATCGAGCTGGGAAAGGGGTGACTGTGCTTGCCGTAGCAACGGGACAAAGCCGAGGGCTGGCTCAGACCCAGCACGTCCTGGCAGCAGCAGCAGTAACCGGATCGGTAACCAGATCGCTGGCATACCAGCACTGACTCAGCACGGTCCCGCTCCCAGCCCAGCCCTCCCCAGGGATTCACCCCTCTGGGGTGGTACCCAGGGCAGTGGGGACAGGTCCTGCCTGGTGGGGCAGGGTGCTGGGTGTTCCTGTCCCGAGCGGGTGCACTTTGCAGCTTGGCCATGTCAAGGCCTCCTGGAAAGGGGGATTTTGGGCATCAAGCCTGGGCAGCTGCATCCCCTGGTTCCATGTTCCTACCCAGCCTTTCAGTACCCTGGCTGCAGCGGAGAGGGTGCCAAGGCTCCGGTGTCCTCCCCGTCCCACGGTAGAGACGTTCCCAGCACACGCGTCCCTCCTGGCTATATATAGCTAACAACACGCTTTGGGTAATAGAGCTGCAACAAGGACAGGGCTGAGCTTCTGCCAGGGCTTCTCCAGCTGAAGAATCCCATCAGGGAGGGGATGCAGCCCCATCCGGACCCAGCAGTGGGGTGGGATTTGCCTGATGGGAGCCAGGGATGAGCCGAGGCATGGTTTTGCCCCCCTCCCCTGGGAACCAGCAGGCAGCAGTGCAGGGAGGGAGGCTGACTTCACCCCCAGTGACCGAGTTCACATCTCAGCATGGAAAGATCTCCACCAAGACCAGATCCCCACCCTTATTGCAACCAGATGTGGATTTTGGCACCCTCTGGGCTGGCAGCCCCTTGGAGAGGACTGCCCTGACAGCACCGCCAGCTCCAAGGGGGAGGGGGGGGTGCCCCCCAATAACCCTGAGCTCAGCACCCAGGGGCTGCGGGTGCAAACAGCCTCATTTCTGTGATGCACTGAGAGCCCGTCTCTGCTGTCTAAGGCAGCCAGAGATAGCCCAGGAGCAAGCACCCCGAACACAGGGTTATTTTGCCATAACACTCCCAACACTCCCCTGGGAAAGCCCTAATTGCCGGAAAGCAGGTCGCCTGGGGCATCGCCTTAGTCCGATGGGCACCCCAGCTCCAGAACAGGTCGGCCACCCTGGAGCTCCTCCTGCCAGCACAGGTTGGGCAGGTTTCGCCCCGCACCAGCCCTGCCGAAAGGCCAAACCCAAAGTGCTGTGATGCCCTGGGTATCGCCAAGCCTGGCTGATGTTCAGCTCTGCCTGTGCCTATCTCCTGCCAGCCCTGACCAGGCAGCTACAGGCAGCTTTTCCCACTTTCCACGCACTTGGGAACTAACACTGGGACACTCGTGCACTTGCTGAACAGGTATCGGCACCCCCCCACCCCCCGCATCTCCTATCCCAGGATGGCAAAACATGGGTATTCCATGGGCAGTGACGCATGCCAGCCCTACTCCAGGATCCACGAGGGCAGCCCAGCTCCATCCTGGCCCCAAGGGATCCAGGGATCCAGAGCCAAGTTGGCACAGGGGAGCACTGTGATGGGACAGTGAGGATTACCAGCACGGGATACGGAGGCACATGGGGTGGGTGCAGGGAAGCAGGGGGGAGCCCAGGGACAGGACTGGACGTGAGGGAAGGACTGGAATGGGATTGTCCGGGGGACACAGGGAGACAATGGGGTGGGACTGGAGAAGCGCCAGGGTGGGTACTAGGGTGGGACAGGGGCAGCATCGGGATGGGGCAGGGGAACAGGAGGGGATCCGCACGCTGGGATTGGGGGGGGGCATCCGGATGGGGTAGTACCAGGACAGGCACGGGGGAGCACCGGGATGGGAGCGGGAGGCAGGTGGAGGATCACCAGCGTGCATCGGGAAACAGCGGGATGGGACAGGGGCAGCACCGGGACTGTGCAGGGGAAGGG